CAGCCATTTCTTCCAGCTCTTCAGGAGGAACCCCAAGGCGTTCCCAGGCCAGCCGAGAAACAGTCTCTCCAGCGTGTCCTGGGTCTTCCCCGGGGCCTCCCCCCGGTGGGACGTGCCCGGAACACCTCACCAGGGAGGCGTCCAGGAGGCATCCTAAACAGATGCCCAAGCTACCTCAACTCGCTCCTCTCGACGTGGAGGAGCAGCGGCACTACTCCGAGTCCCTCCCGGATGACCGAGCTTCACCCTATCTCTAAGGGAGAGCCCAGCCACCCTACGGAGGAAACCCATTTCGGCCGCTTGTATCTGCGATCTCGTTCTTTTGGTCATGACAAGACATGACAAGAAACTAAATTTGTCAAAATAAGAAAAAAAGTAGGGAATAATTTTTAACTGAATGATTTGTTCTTTTCTTGGTGCCAAGCCTTCTCAGTCAATAGACAGCAAATGATTCAATCAGGCTCAAATGAAAGAAAAAGCAGATAAACCTCCTGGTGTGGAGCTTCTAGATCTGCTCAGTCTGATGGAGGCAGGAGGGTCAAACTGGAGAAGCTCTGATGTTTTCATAGTTCACAGCATCATCAGCTCCATCATTACACATCTAATGAAAAACAGAAACAATAACATATCAGAAACATTAACTACACCATAAATTTACTGTTTCATCTGTGATCTTATCCTTTGAATAAAAGTCATTGTTTACAGGTTTGAACTTCACCTAAAGTGCAAACCTGTAAAGCGTTAGAGCAGAAACTACTGCACAAATTACCCCAAATCCCTGTAATGGCTCCGCAGTTTGCATGATCTGTTACCTTTACACAAAAGGATATAATATAGGAAACCTATATGTTTTTGGGATATTTAGAAATGTCAATATTTGTTTCCTAAAAATGTCTAATTAAGTACCTGCATTATTATTCCACTGTTAATCAGATTGTGGCTCATTCTCTGTTACAGGGGGTTGGAGGGTGGCGATCAATGAGTTAGCAAAGACCTCTCTCACGTGTTTTATATTTTATCTCTCATATTTACCTTAAGGTTTTCTTATTTCCATCTCTTTACTTTTGTTACTAGGACTTTGATAATAGTTTGGTATAGATCACTATAAGTAATATTGAGTATTATTATGTTATTATTTTCTAAAAGTTTGTTATTATAAGCTTAAACTAAATGGCTTAGAACCTCGTCTTTCTTTTTAGGGTCGCTCTCAAACTGCAAGCAGCACATACTATCGACTCATTTAAACAGGATGGAACCAAAGTGGCTTGTCTTATTTGTGCAAGCAATCTTTTAAAAACGTCATCCACCTCGACCCAAATAGTCCATGTGCAGTTTGTTTAACCCCCCCTCCAACTAATTTAGTACTCCTTGATTGGGATCTTTAAAGATATTGCCCTTAATTTATGTTAGCATCTTGTATATACCATTAATAAGGGTCCCAAATGAGAAGGGGATCACCCCCCCAGTGTCTTGGAGCACTTGTATTTTACAGAGCTAGTGCTTGTTTGAAACCATTCTTCCAGTATTTTTCTTTTACATGTGTTTTGTTTGTTAGCACATTAAAAATGCTGTTGCAATAAAAGACCAACACAGCCTTTAGTAAATCTGATCATAAGGGGAGCTTAAAGGAATAGTACACCCGAAACATGATTAGCCTTCATTTTCTACTCACCCCCATGCTGAACAACACTCTGGA